TGGGGTTTATATTTATATATAAATATTTATATTTATATTTATATAAATATATATATATATATAAATATAAAGAGTGGAATCATACTGATGTATTATTTATTCATTTATTTGTTTTCTAGTTGCTTGTCAAATATAGGGTTTGGGGAAGGTAATGTTTTGATTCTGAAATACTCACTTATATGTCCAGGAGAGGGCAGCATTTTACTATGTCAGGCTCCTGAAAGAATTAGCCCTGCTTAGACTGTCAATGTTTCTTGTAATTACTCCCAGTATATTTGTTGCTTGCTTATGAATTAACTTGCATTTATGGAACTAAATCATTCCAATCATTTAATTACACCTGAGGAGCTGAACTATAATTGCTTGCTTCCAACTAGGATCTGATATGGCTTGAGCAGTATTAATTTGGTGTTTACTTTTCTGAGTGCTAAAAGCATTAAAATGATTGTGCAATGGGATTACATTTTACTAATTGCTGGCATTCATTAGCTGGGTAAATGATGAGGAAGAGTGACTGTATATTGCAAAGGGATAAAATTATGGTTTTAAATAGTATATTACTAAGCACATTAAGGCCTATAAGACATGTTTTAAAATACTCCAGAGGTTATTAAAGACTGTATTTTCTACATGTCTTGCTATATGAATCTCTTATTAAAAGACTGCAATTATTATTAACCTTTTTGGGCAATATGTAGGGAAATGGCTTCATTGACTGGAACATATTTCTTTGATATTAATAACGTCCTATATTTTCAGCTAATCCAAAAGTAAATGAGGAGAACTTAGAAAAAAATTGCCAACTCCAGATCAACATATTTAGAGAAAATTGGAAAAGGAGAAGCTTACTACAGCTTTATTTAAGGACTTTTTAAAGAACGCAGAGTTCTTGCTGTGAGGTAAATCTAATTTTATTCTCTTTAAAAGCGTGTCAAAAAAACTTGCATAGCTTTCACCATGTTTATTAAGAAACCAAAAGCATGAGAGAACACCAATAATTTCCCACTTTGATGATAATCTTTGTTTTTTTTAAAGAATTAGATAGTTTCTTAAATTACTCCTACATGTATGAAATGTTTAATATGAAAATATACATTATAAATTCAAATCAATACATAATAATTTTTAATTTTAATTTATGACAGTAAAAATGATTTTTCTTAAATTGTTGAAGTTTTATAGTTGTATAATTTAAGTTATATAATTTAATGGTTTCTAGATGTTTACACTGGATTGTGTTAACTAAAAATATATATGTGAGGGGAAGAATCTTTTTTCTGAGAAAAAAGATTTAATTTCAATTACTAATATGCATAGTTAATTTTTCCAGTATAAATATTTTAGGAAACCATTTATCCTTTAAATTCCTTGTTAAACAAATACAAGTTTTAGGTGTGTTCTGCTATATTGTTTTAAGTTTATTTATCTAGGGTTGACTTTATTTTAGCTTCAAATCTTCGAGCAAAAACCAGAGACATTGCCAGAGCAAACAAGAATAGAAGTGCAAATGGAGGACTGGTCAAAAGGTAAGGACTTTTAAGATATTAATACCGAACCCCAGGTGTTGTGCTAGTTCAAGGCACTGAATGAAGTATGTTTGTTTTAACCAATATATTAGTCAGAGGCAAGCAAGCACACATGCACGCTCTCGCACACCTACACACAGAAGGGGGCACACACTGCAAAAGAGACGAAAAGACACACAAAACAATGCACACAGGAAAAAGCTGTGCACATGCATATAGAGAAAGAGATACACAGAGTAAGAGCCACTGACAGAAAGAGAAGATCAGAAGATAAACACATGTGCATGGAGAGAAAAAGAAGGAAATGCACACGGAGAGATGCATGAACACAGAGAAATATGGAGATACATACAGACACAGAGCCATGTGTAGAGACATGTACACTGACAGATATACCTGGAAAAAGCTGGAAGTAGAGAGGTCAGAGAGACTCAGTAGCAGAGCCATGAAGAGAGACTGTGGACAGAGAGAGACCTGAAGCAGAGTCAGAGCCACAGAGATGCACAGGCTAAAGGAAAGAGTGAGCGGAAATAGAAACACAATTTGAAGAACAGACGGGCTGAGAGATGGCCTGAGAAAAATAGATGATTAGGCAGGGCAGTAGAGATACTCTATAGAGAGACATTTAAAACAATACTAGTTATTTAGAGAGGTTTAAAATAATACTGGTCTTTTTTTTTTTAATTTACTTATTTATTTATGCGTAGAAGAAGTGGGATTTAGGTGAGAGGATTCACAAGAGACACTGAGGAGTAGAACAGGTAGATCTACCAAAATATACTGTAGAGGGGAGTAGCAGGTAAGTCAGGAGAGGTCTGCTGTGCCATGTGGGTCAGCTCCATGGCTGGGGATCAAACTCAGATCACAGCAGTGATAGAGTGTTGAGATATAGTCCCTATACCACCAGGAAGTTTCTAAAATAATAGTAATAATAGTTTTTTAATTGAGATCTCTTAACAGTAAAATGTTACAAATCTAGTATCCTTGGTATCCTTGGGAAATGAATCATTCTGAATATAGAATTACATATAGGTGAAGATTTATACATTTGTACATCATTTTTATGTTCTCTAAACTTTAAATTTAAACTTAAAACATATGATTGTCAGCATAGCACTCCATACTTCTCTGATTTTGTATTTCTTTTCCTAAAACAAGGTTTTTTTCACCAAATATTATCTATATTGTTACCTTTTTTCAGGTTAAAGACATTTGGGGACTGTACTGTTATTCTACTAAAAGACCATAGTTACATATTCTTTTGAGGTATGAGAAGATGCTGTGCTTTTTGAGTTTAACTTTTTCTGATTTCTACATTTGTTTATCTTCACACATTTGTAAATTTTCTTACAGTTTATGCCTGCTACTAGCAACCCTTTTATTTGTGTGTGACTCTTTGCTGCATATTATAGAGTTTGGAATCCAGTAACTGATTAAATTGGGTATAAAGTAATAATAGCAAGTAATATCTGAGTATGATAGTTAATTTTTTATGTTAAGTTAATAGTTTTAATGAGTGGACTTTGAGACTATTTACTTTGGTACACTATATTTAAGTAAAAAGGATAGATATATATGAAATTGGGAACTGACATGTTTTAGCCATTTTTATTCACTTATGTAAATAAGCAAACACTCTTCCTATGAAGAACTCAAGTAGTTTTACTTGATTTATGTACAAAATAAGAAAAGAAGAACTAAATACTGAGAACTGTGTTGCTTATGTTCCCTATCATTTTGTAGTAAAAGTTGTGTTGTTCAAGTTATAGACAAAAGACCTTTAAGGAACCAAAGGACTTATTTTTAATATATGTAAAGCACTAAGGACTGTAGAGGAAATACTTCTCATAAATGTAGAATACCCAGGAAAGATGTTAAGGAAGGGGGTTGCTGAAGCTCTAGGATACTTAGCGAGCATAGTTTTAGATGTGAAGACATAGGTGTATAAATAATTTGCAGGAGGCAGATTGCAATAAACGTGACTGAAACATCATTAAGAAAATTTGCATTTTACAGGCAAGTTTTTGACAATGGAAATAGGAATAAGACATTCCTTTATATAATGGCCTATTAATGAAACATTATTAAGAAATAAAATTGAGTTTTGTAATAACTGAGGTGTTTAAACAGTCAAATCTCAAATGGCCATCCTTTTGTTATCAAGGTTCATTGAATTAATCATAAGGCACAAATTTTTTCCAAGCTCTGCTTTACACTAATGTTTGTAGTCTGTTCTCAACTAGTTACTTAATATTTCTTTCCTTATTTTTTAAATAACTGAGCTAGTTTAATCTAGCTAAAACATATGGATAGATGCCTGCATCATCTTAAAAAAATAAGTGCTAAAGTGGTGATTTGTTTCCTAGCACTGTTGTAGAACACTGCTGAAATGTTTGGAGTCAAAGATTTGATTAAGTATAGAATACAACAGATTTACATTGTTCTTGATTTTTTTGTCATTATAGTCTGGAGAATGCAAAGTTGAGATTGGTAGGTAGTAAGGGTGAAGACGTTCTATGTACAATGTCAGGGTTTCTTTAAGTAGTTAAAAAAAACCCTGAGTGAGTCAAATTTTTAAACTGATGGAAGAAATAGTTGGGTAAGTGAGCAAGTGTTGCCTTTTGAGCACTAGTGTCATTTCTACCTTCTTCTGAAGTAGTCATTTGGTAAAAACCTCCTATTTTTCAGTTATTTTCTCTTCTTAATAAGGAAGAAAATGAACTGGTATAATCGAAAGACTTACTTAAAATCAACATGCTGAAAGAAAAAGTTGTTATTAGATTGGTTGTTTAGGTTTTTTTTTTTTTTTTTTTTAAGCCTTTACCTATTATTTACTTAACTATGTAAGAAAACAGGCACGGAGGTCAGAAATTTCTCAGGAGTATTTATTAGGAATAGTAGGGTATGTTTTTGGATATTTTTATATCAGATTTTGTTGGTTTTATTTATCTAGTTGTTTTGTCATATACAGTAGTACATTAGGAATAGTTTCCATATTATGTATGAATAAATGTTTTGGTCAAAAGTAGTTACCTGTAGTAGTACAGGTAGAAGTGAGGTCTAGATGCCAGTAAAATTTAGAGTATTGTAAAACTTACTTAAATTTAGATCCTTTAGGGGTCAGTGTTCCCTAAGAAAGGTTAAAAAAGGTTATTGTGTCTACTCTAATTAAATATTTTCCACTATATTGTAAATATTTTACCGATTGAAAGTAAAAGATGACTAGAATCACTCAGCTTGAGGAAGCTTCAGACAGAAACCTTTCAACTTTATGACTTTCTTTAACACTATTTTTAGGTTTATTATTTTAGGAAATTATATTTAAAGTATTTTATGCACAGTGTTATTTTTCTCTTACGTGTTATCTCAATTTAGATCTGAATGTGTCCTTAAACTGTTTTCTCTTAATCTTAAAAAGTCATCATGATTCTAATTCTTATAACTTATTTGAATGTTGAAAGAACTTATTTGAAAGCTGAAAAACCACTTCTAGCACTGCTTGTGATAATAGAGTCCTTACTTGTCGTAGTATATTAGAGGTGCGCAAATGTTTTAAGAAACTTATCTTACTGGATTTAAGTAAAAAGCAACTGTCCTCTTTTTTAAGAATTGGAGTAGCAATAATCTTTTGTCACCCTGATTCTTCTGGTTTTCTACTTTAACAAAATAAAGAAGACTAAAATCTAGCAAAAAACAACTGATTAACTAGTTTGTAATACTGTTTATTTTTGTTTGGTATTTGGAACTTGTGTGCCACCATTAGCCTTTTATTATTGATTTCATTTTGCTTTCTTTTCACAGAGTATGCATTCTTTTTTACCCTTTATTCATCTATTCGGTAATAAAATTCAATCTAAAACTATTGCATAATTTTCAGACACTTTATCAGCATAGACATCTATAAAAAGATTATAGAAGAAACATTTATACTTTTAAAGTCCTTTGGTCCTTGTGACTAAAACCCAACTATAGAGGGTCATAACATTTTCGTAAACTGTTATTTTTAAAGCAGAAAGTAAAGAAATGGCAAGTTACATAGGATGAACATCTATTTCTACCAGAAAGGTAACTGGTAGGGGAAAAAAAAAAATGATTCCCAACGTATTTTGATGTCACACTCCTTAAAGTTCAAGGTTCTGAAAATATGTCATGATAAATTGCAGAACTTCAATTGAACAGTTGGCTTCTTAGGAGGTAACTGTATATTTTCCTTAAATAAGTAATACAGTGTGTTTTTGTGTGTTAGAGTAGAAGGTAAATTGTACTGGAGAACCAATGCATTTAAAATATTATAGTAAATAAAAACCAGCTTAGGTGCTTGATGGACCTGGGTTTCAGGTTTTTAATCTGCTTACCATCTACCTGAACTTGGGTCCAAGCTTCATACATTTTTTTTAAGCTGACTTTTCCTTTGTATAGAATAGGGTGATAGTGTGATAATTCCTTTAGGACTGATGTGAAGATTACGGATTGTGTATGTAAAATACCTGTTATAATGTCTGTAACAGAAAATTAGCTTACTAATATCTATTGGCCATAGCAAGTAGTTATTTTTACTAATGACATGATGGTAATAGTCTTTACAGGTGCTTACCAAAAACACTGTGGACATTTTAAGGGACCTAAATAAATAGTGGTGATTGTTGTCATTGTTATTCCATAGATCTATGAAAGGTAAGGACATAAAAAAAAGTTTCAAAATTATTTTGAAACACAAGTTACATTATTGAACACTATTTCTTAATTTTATAAGTCTATTCTCTTCAAATACGGTGCTTATAGTATCACTGGTAATTTGATTTTCCAAAGTGTAATATATCTTATTATACTTGATCAGTATTATACAAAATCAAAAATACTTATTTTGGGTAAAATCTTAATTTTGTTTGTTTAGAAAACCTAATTGTAGTAAAAATCTTCAGACTAGTGTCATTGCATGTGTGCCCTTTCCTTTTGGCAAGGTTGAATTGGGTTTAACATGCATTTTTTATTTTCCATTTGCCATAGAGTAGTTAAAGAAAAACATGTCTGAGGTCTGATTAAATTTACTATTTATCTCCATGGGCCTTAACTTAATAGACTCCTGGCAGCTTCTTACTAGAATATTTCAGAGTAGTTTTAAATTTACTGGCAGCTAGCCAACAAGGATTGATTCATTTCTAGAGGAAATGCTAAGGATAACTCTTGAATAATGGTTGAAGTTATACTATTTTGATTTTTTTAAATTCTCTTATTTTAAATACACTTACTAAGATAAGTTGGATCTTTTTTTTTAACTTTGAGATGAATGACCTCAGTAGAGAAACAGAATAAAAGAAATGTTTACAAGGACAACTTAGTTTTCTAACTGGTTATAACATTTGTTATGAACTGTGTTTTGAGATTCATCATTACAGTATGAATTCATTCAAACTTGTGAATGTATACCATCAATTATATTTTTTGCTTTTATTTTTTGGCAGTTTAAACAGGCACTATTTTGTAAAGTAGTATCAAGTTCACAGCAAAATAGAGCTCAAGTGCAGAGTTCCCGTTATAACTCTTACCCCTATACATGTACACTATTACTATCCCCACCTTTAATTGTCCATTTGCTGTAACTGATGAACCTGCCCATTATTTCTTAGTGGGGGAAATGTTTGTGAGATAATAGGGCCCTTTATTTATTTTATTTTTATAAAATTTAAAGATCAGTTTTATATCAATTCAAACTATACTCTTCAAGGAGAATTCTCATTACCCCTTTGGTCCTTCATTTTATAAAAATGATAATTTTTATCACATAAGTATGTGACACAGAAGTATGAAATTTGGTAACTATTTTTTTTATTAAGACCTTTCCCCTATATTTCTATACTATTGGTATGATCCTCTCTTTCTCTAACTTGTGACTTTTTATTTATTTATTTATTTGATTTAAGGAAACCTTAATATGCAGGCCCTTTTACATGATTACATTATTTGTGGTCTTAAAAATATAAATAATAAAAAATATAAAATAACATACTTAAACATTAAAGTTGTTTTGTTTTTTTTTCTTCATTTTAAATTTTCCATCCTGAAGATTCTAAACTCATAAGTAAAAATCCACCTTCATTTCTGATTTTGCTCCTTTTGTGCCAGATCACTTCCTGGAACATATTTAAAATACAAATTTTGTTTATTTAATTTTCCAGAAGTTAGAATTTCTTTTCATCATATTTAAGGTGACTATCATGGTCTTCATCATGTACTGCATTTGTCACCGTAGTATGATTACTGTAAAGTCCTTACTATACATAGGTATTTTGCTGAATTTGGAGATCTAGATCAATATACATTAGTGAGCGAACTGAACTTATGGCCATTTACACAGTTCGTCTAGGTTGACTGTCTAATTTGTAAAGTGGGACTTGATGTGACTTTATCTACTACATTTTTATGCTACTTTTAGTTATAAATAAATCTGGCAGTTCAATAAACACTTGGTGGGGAGTCACCAAGAAGTCCAAGTTTTAGTGTCTGTGGAACAATATTTTCCTTGGGAGAAATTTCTAATGCTGTTTTTCTTTTGTGTTCTGCCGTTTGTGCTTTGTTTTTTCTTGGAGAATATGAAAAATCAAAAAGAACAAATGAGACTACAAAATTTCAAAATTGATTGCATAGATTATTTCAGTCTCAAGAATTAAATTAATGATATTCTGATCTGTATTTTTTTAAGTAAAACAGGTAACCCAAGTGGTAAAGTGTGCCAATTTGAAGTAAGATAAAATAATTATTTTGACACTCCTGATTTGAATTTCATTTTTATTTTTTGAATGATTCTAGTTTTCACATAGTAAACCTTCTTTTAGCACTTTAATATCAGGATGCCAGTGTGTGAGAAGTTAAAAGTGATTAGTTCATATTGATAAAATTATAGACGTGAAATGTTAGTTTTTGCTAATTAAATATTTTAAATTAAATTCTCCTTTTTCATACAGTATCACTGCTTGTACATTGCATAATTTGATGAACCCAAACAGTAATGTTTATTAATTTGAGCATTTTTTATATAAAAATGAGTGAAATTAAGCCACAGTTCTTATTTCCTTTTTTAATATCTTGTTTTCGAAAATTTTCCCTTTTCTATTCAAAAAATTCATAATAATATAATTTCCAACAACTTAGGATACGTGGAATCTTCTTAGTATTTTTGATCTTGAACCAATGACATGTACTGAAGAAAGTAAGATAGGAAAGACCATACGTAGTCCTAAGAATTTGGGCTTATGTATTAATTTTATACTTGGAATATGGAGTATTTTGTATCCTTTTAAAAATTAATGTAAGTATAAAGAATTCATAACTTGAAAGAATTTGTATTTTAAGTAGGTTAGTTGGATTTTGACTCTTTAAAAAAATCACGTATTGGCAAAATTTGGAGTCACTACAACCTTTGACTCGTTTACTTTTAAGAATTTTAAATTTAAAAAGTAATGATTTCAGTTCAATAAATCTGACTGTTTCTTTTCAGAAATCCTCATTGCCTGTATTTTATAATCAACCAATATAGAGTTTAAGACCAGGACAAGGCTGCATTATTCCAGGTAAGAAGAGCAAAGACAAAACAAGAAATTTTCATTAAAAAAGCAGTCCTTGATCTCCTGAGAATGCAAGAGAGAGACTAGCATCAGAGACTTCCTCTGCATTTTTAATAGGCCATTTGCTCTCTGAGATGTTCTATATTGGTCCTTTATTACCTTTTTCTTTAAAGTCTCTGCACCTCCCCCAAGTCATTTGAAATGAACACATTATAAGAAAAAACAAATTTACTTTTCTCAGGCTTTTATTGTCTCAGGTATTTAATGCCTGTTTTTTTTTTTTTTTTTAAGTTAAAACTTCTAACTAACAGGAGGTGTATAGTATAACTGACTAACAAGACACTGGTATAGTGTCACAGTTGATTAATGAAATGGGAGTCCCTACCTTTTCGTTTTATGCCTTTGATTTTTTTTTTTCTCTTGGAGAAACAAATGGTGAATTTGAATAAAATACACATCATTTGCATAGAAAGTTATGTAATGATTCCATATAGTGTATAATGATTTCCTAAAACCTTGTATTTAAAGTAACCTGAATTACAATGAGAGATAAACAGAATATTTACCCATCCCTTATGAGCTGCTGCTGATATGTAAATTTATTCTTCTACTTTGCACAAATATACTTTTGAGCTACTGCTTAAACACTTTGAGGTCCTTAGTCAAACAGTTTTAATGATGCCTCCAATATTATGAAAGTGTGACATTTGATGAATGTCTCATATAGTTTTGATATCTGGGCACATGTCAACAAAAAAAATTGAACATTGGTTTGTCATGCAACACCTAGATAATTTATAATTTTACTGTTTATATCCATCTTGACATTTTTTATCTGCCAAAGGCAGGTTTCATTTGGAATCTTAATCTGAGATTTATTTGGTGGATCTGGAAATCATAGCTAGGGTTCCCACAGGAAATGGTCCATCTACCAACAGATTAAATGGCAGTCCTGCAGTTGTTAGGGGAGCTCTGCATTTAACACACATGCATACTCATTCAGTCAGCACTGTGGAGAAAAATTAAAGTAGTAACCCAGGTTTAGGAACAATGTAGCTAAAAAGTCCCATATTTGCTGAATGACAAAGGGTTATATAGCAGCATTTCATTTTATTATTCGTGCTTGAATTTCTTGTTTGCTCTGTTGAGTCTGCTGACGAATACTAATAAATGCCTGCAACAATCCAGACGAGAGATGCCTGGCAACAAAGCTATGCAGTGGACCTCCCTGATCTTCTCCAGTTCACAACCTGACCTTTTGAAAAATTGGCTGGGCTAAGCTGCAGAATTTGGGTGTAATGGTTATTGTTAACTCCAGCTTTAGGATTTATTAATTTGTGTGATCAAGACTTACCTATACTTCAAAGTTTCAAAAGACCAAACACAATCATCCATCCATTAGAACTAACATTGTGTTTTCAGTGATTTCCACTTAGTATCTCACTGATAATTCTTCTATTTTGTTTTCCAAATTTAAAAGTACTCTTAAATAAAATGAAGAAGCATATATACCAAAAAACTGTTTTTTCACTTTACACTTATTATTGCAAAGATTTCCTCCCATGCATGATTTATAAAATTGTTTAGTTCATATATAGTTGGTATGTGTTCATACTAAGAAAATATAGGAAACCTGTTTTATTTGGATTTGGGGACATTTATGATTTGCCTAGTTCATCCACTTTTTAAAATTGCTTTGTATAAATTACTCTTATAATAAGAAAAAAATTGAGAAAGCCAGAAAATTCTAGGAATACATAGTAGCCAAAAAAATTCATCTCATTGGGGGAAAAAATAAAGATGATTATTTCATTAATCAAATTTTCACAACAATTTCAGTGTGAATAATATTTGTAATGATTTTAAGAGTGACATAGTTTTACAAAGCTTTATATTATTATACTGTATTCATGACCTTCATATTATCAAAGATGTTAAAATTTTGAAGCTGAAACATTATGATAAAACAGAGCACTTAGAAGTCTGTCCTTTTTCCCAATAGAATGAATATGATGTACTTATGACTGTTTCATATTGCATGAAGCAAACAAACTTTTTTTTTATAAATTAGATGTAGTGTCATCACTTTGAATTGCTATTTTTTATAAAAGAGCAACAAAATTCAGTGATGATCCATGACCAATCAATCATAGGATAAATTGAAACTTGGTATTGAATATGGTCATTGAATTATTTTAATTAAAGATAAAATAACTTATCACTTCTTTTTGACTTGTTTATTTAGATACACATCCATGTATAGGAATGTAAGGATGTAGTTTATTTTGAATATTTAACCTTTGCCTCCAAATGAATACATTATATGATATTGATAAATTTCATGATTTTCTAGCTTTATAAATCTTTATGAAACTTTACTTCAATATTTTCAGTTTCTTTTAGCTTTTCTAAGCCAACACTCCCATTTTTTTTTTTTTACTCTATTTATTCTCTCTAAATACACTGCTTTCTAACATGGTAGCCACAGGCTATAAGTAGCTTTGAGCACTTGAAATGTGGTCAGTGAGTATGCAGAACAATGAAAATGAAAGTTTTACTTCTTTTTTTTTTCCCTTTTATGACTGTTCAAGCCAAAACAACCCAGATAAATTAAAAAAACTCCCGAGACTACACACTATGCAAGTAACATGTTTGCATTTTCTAAGTCAAATACTCAAAAATGTTACCTAATTTCCTGTGACTCCTAATTTAGAATCTCTAAAGGATAAGTGCCTGTGATCTACAAGATCCTGTGTGTGTGTAATATGAAGTGCCAGTAGAGTGAGCACTCAAATTATGTCAGAAAAACATGCTGTTTAATTTTTCTGTCATGTGATTCAATTTATAAAAATAGTATTAATTTTCTTTTAGTGAGATTAAATTTTCTTTCCCTGTCAGGGTTTCTAAATTTTGAAATCCCTCCGATTCTATAACTTCTTCATGTTGTACCAACTTTATTAAGCCATTATGTATTCATTACACATATTAACTTTATTAAGCATTTTTTCTCTAGTGTATGTGTCTTATAGGAATAAAGTAGCATTTTATTTTCCATTTCCATGTCTGCTAATATATTTGTAAGAAATGCCCTTATACATTTTATTTATCTTATATTTTAATAAGAAAATCTTGCTTTCACCAAGGCATTTTTTTTGCAGATAATAGCAAGTAAAATTTATTGTGTATTCCATCCTGACACTTTTCCAAGAATTCATATAATTTAATCCTCAAAGCAACATTGTGAGATAGGTGCTGTTATTATGTACTTTTATTGATAGGGAAATTGATGAGAGGTTAAGCAATTTGTTAAAGGTCATACGGCTTTGTGATAGCCCCAGAATCCAAACCCTGCAGTTTGTAGAGTGAATGCACTGTGGTTCTGCTTGGGAGATCTAAATATGCTTGTGTCTACTTAGGTCTAAACTTTTCTCTTGTACATAATCATATCAGATGGGACCTCTGTGATACAGTAGAAGTTTGTAATGTCTTTTTCTATTAGGTTCTAGGAAGAAAGCCTATCTGTGTACCTATATAGAAAACTAACCCTCCCCCCCAGAACAAAGGGGAAAGAAACAAATAGAAATATTTAGTAAAGACAATAAATAATACTTATATATAAACATAAATAGGTACTCTAATTTACTGAGGAAATTGGTGGAAATTATTATGAGCCACTATTTTTCTGTTTAGGTTGAATTTAGTGTTTATTTAGAAATACTCAGAAATGATATCTTTGTTTAATGTCAGACTGCTATAGTATTTCATTATCATATCAAATTTACACTCTTATATAATAGTACAAGTCATCCATTTGAGGTTCTTGTTATAGTGTGTTGCTTTTATTACAACATGATGGTGATATATACAAACAAAAAAAAATGAATAAGTATAAGGATTTCAATATATTAAAAACGTCAGATGCTACAGTGTAAGTAATAGCATTATAAAAAAAAGAAGTGATGACCAATTATGTTAGCAAGTGCCAGGGACACATCAACCAAACATGTTCTTTGTGATTCATTTTTAAATATGAATGCCCCTAAATGTTTACCTGTAAACATTTTTACCTGTATCTTGAGGAATAAAAGGTCCATTTACTTGAATGTACTTACTTGTAGTACTTCTGTTCCCCTTTTTCTTTTCTGCCCCCTGAGTTCCCAGGTAGCTGGGATGTTGCTATTTTGAGTAACATCAGTAAGGATCCCTGGAGACAATTCTAGCTCAACCACTCTGAAGAAACAGCTCTGTAAACAGTATTGACCCCCCAGGGGACCATCAAATCCGTTTACACAGATACCAGTTGTCACAAACTATTTACAAAGCCAGACAGAACAGAATTTCCCAGCCTTTAAGAATCCCTATTTGATTCTAGCCACTTCCTCACTTCTGTATGGTAGTTGTGAAATAACAGTTATTTTTGGGTATAAGTCATGATTTCTTGGGTAGCATCAATTTAATTGGGTATATTATACGTTAACTAATGTGTAATTGTCCAGAGATTTGAACTTATAGAGGATCATAGAGAATTCTTTCCTGGGATAGGAAATGGCATAATATTGTTAGGTTTCAGGACTAAGAAATTGAGAATTTTAATAGTAGCCCTAGCATTGAGACAGCTGACAGTAGTGATATCTCCAGAAGTAAAGGGAGAATTTGTTAGCTCATGAAAAATGGTCCATGGGAAACAGCATGAAAAAAATCACTTATAAAATGCAGGGTGTTCAGAGCATATAATGCATCTCACCTAGGCATATATATGTAAAGATTAAAAAAAAACTTTATTAAATCCATGCATTTTATGCAGGTGAATAAATTATCTCTAGCTTTAGTAATAAATGACATTTGAGAAATGTCTTCTTTTCCTTTACATCATTTACAACTGGTCACAGGATAAAATTGCAAGGCAATGATAGCATTAAACAGTAGTAGCAAAAATTAGGAAATTTTTGTTTCAATTGATCACATTCTTGTATAGAAAATATACTATGTTCAGAAAAGCAAATAAA